TTGTAGTGTGGGGACCAACACTGGACACAGTATTCCACCTGATGCCTCCCCAATGTCGAATAAAGGGGACCGACCTCGTTCCTCGATCTGCTGGCAATGCTCCTACTAATACAGCCCAATATGCTGTTGGCCTTCTTTGCAACAAGGGCACACTGCTGACTCATATCCAGCTTCTTGTTCACTGTAATCCCCAGGTCCTTTTCTGCAGAACTGCTGCTTAGCCAGTTGGTCCCCAGCCTGTAGCGGTACATGTAATTCTTCCTTCGTAAGTGCAGGACTTTGCACTTGTTGAACTTCATCAGATTTCTTTTGGTCCAATCCTCCAATTTGTCTAGGTCACTCTGGACCCTATCCCTACTCTCCAGCACTACGATTTAATCATGAATATTTTTAGTAAAAGTCATGGACAGGTCATGGGGCTGTGATGTTTTTTTGTTTTTTGCCCCTGACCTGTCCATGACTTTTACTAAAAATACTCATGATTGAATCTTGGGGAGAGGGGCCTGCTGCCACTCCGTCTTCCGCTGAAAGGGGAGTCCTGGAGGGCCCACCACTGGGGGGGGGGGAAGGAAGCCCCGGGGGGGCTTGCTGCCGTCCAAGCAGCTGGCCAGTGTGGCTGTCCCCAGGGCTGCCTGAGTAGCTGGCTCCGGGGCCAGCTGCTTGGGCGGCCCTGGGGTTAGCCACACTGGCTGCTGCAGAAGTATGCCAGGAAGTGCATCTGCTGGGAACCCTCCAGCTCCCACCCCATTCCTTCTTGAAGTGTCTGCTAGTTGCAGGCTAAGCTTTGCCAGGTTGAGTGGTCCCTGGTGGCTGCCAGCAGCTCTGTAACCCTTTTCTGTGCAAATTTTGCATTGCCCAGTGGTGCAGAATTCCCACAGGAGTACCATTATCATGTCGTTCCCTTCCCCCTCCCCCCCCCCCATTAATCTTCTCTTTTTCCAAACTAAACATATCCAGTTTATTCAGCCTTTGCTCATATGGCTTGCAATCCACCCCTTTGATTATCTTTGTTGGTTGCCTCTGGATCCTTTCCAGTTTTTCTACATCCTTTCTCTACATTGGTGACCAAAATTGGACACCATATTCCAGCTGAGGCCTAACCAGTGCCGAGTAGAGCAGTACTATCACATCCCGTGACTTGCATGCTATGCCTCTGTTAATGCAACCTAAAATTGCAATCTCCCCCCCCCTTTTTTTTTTTGGCAACAGCATTGCATTGGTGACTCATATTGAGGTTGTGACCCACCACAACTCCCAGATCCTTCTCAGCAGTACTGCTGTCAAGCCAGTTTTCCCCCATTTTGTATTTGTGCATTTGGGGTTTTCTTCCCTAAGTGTAGCACCTTACATTTGTCTTTGTTGAATTTCATTTTGTTGTCTATAACCCAGTTCTCCAGTCTATCAAAATCCCTCTGAATTTTAGTTGTATCCTCCAAAAGTATTGGCAACCCCCTCTCCTCAGCTTTGTCTCATTTGCAAATTTGATCAGTACGCTCTCTATACAGCGGGTCCCCGGTATACGTCAGGGTTGTGTTCTTGAAAAGGGCGACAGATACCGGGGACCTACTGGTACAGCAGTGGTGTAGGCAGGAGGAGATACTTGGGTGGGTGGGCAGTGATGGGGGGCGGAGGAGTAGGCATGATCTGGCCACCTGTCTTCCTCCCTCCAGCCAGCCTTGTCGGGGGCAGGGCGATAGATGCTCTGGCCAGGGGCTCCTGTGCTGGAACAGATACTATATTTTATTACTGGTGCATGAAGCCTTTAGGTGTTGGGCATCAACTACCAGCACACTTACAATTGAAGGAAGGGAAATAATTTCGGGCAATAGAAAATGTTAATGTGACTTTTAAAGAATTCCACAAAGTAATTTAAGGAGCAATTGATGATTTTTTAAAAGTAGTGTATGGGTTTACTCTGGGGGGAAAAAGTGTACTTTTCCCCTGACATTGTTTTCTGTCAAAGCTGAATATTTCTCTTTCTGTTATTTAGAGCTTGTATATCTCTAGGATCCAAAACCCGGGCCATAGGAAATGCAGCAAAAAGCCAGGTAAATGGATCTAATCATACTACTTTACAGGAATTTAAGCGATCTTTAAATTACTCATCTCCTGTTGAGTTGTGAGGGAAGTGTAAGGGTGAAGAAATCTGATACATTGTTTCATGTTTTAACTTAAAATATATGCTTACAATTTCCTTGCTTTTGTTACCATTATTACTAAATCATTAGGCTGTACACCCCTCTGTTAAAACTAATTGAAATATTGCCTCGGGTTAATTCTTGATTTTTTTTTTTCTTTTTTCTTTTTAGAGGAAAGACAGGGAGAAATGTAGGACTTGGTCTACTCACCAGTGAAGAATAAGAAACTTTCCTTAGTGGGGGGAGAAGAATGGGTATAGGCTCAAGTCTTCAATTTCTGAAGAGTGTTAGCATTCATTAAGAAAAGCTTGTGGCCCTTATAGTTTGAAAATGAAAACAGAAGGAATGCTGTCTTTCTGAATTTATAGACACAAATGTCTGTGCCGCTGCTTGTAGCTTTCCCAGACAGTATAGTGAAATTCAGACTTGCCAGTTTCACTACCTCTGTTCAGAACTCTGGACAGCAGTAAAACTTGTGATCTTTGTAACTTCACTTGCTGCTGCTTGGGAAAACTAAGAACAGGAGCAAAGGCTGGGACTGGAGATAATCACTAGGAGGAATACCAAAAAAATGAGGTTTGAATAGCAAAGACCCTTTGCAGCAGAATCTAGGGAGTGGAAATGATAACAGAGGATATCCCTTACCCTTTCCATGCTCATGCACCCTAGTCAGGAAGTTGTGGAGTAATAGGGAAAGAACTCCCCATGTCTCTTCCCAGAAGGTGGGTAGTTAAATTTCAGATACTCTTATACCTATTAACCAAAAGAATGGAGCCCTCAGGCATGTTCCGGGGCAGGTGGACCCTCATTTTCAGCAGCCATGCACAGCTCATCAGTACACAGCTACTGGACATTGCTGGAGATGGGGGCCTTTATGTTTCACATTGACTTCCAACTGTTAAGCTTAATTCTCAGGCTAGTAAATACAAGGTACACTTTCAAAGCCTGGAGTACAGTTGTAATTGGCTTAAAAATTCTGTATTCATTATAAAACAAAATGAACAAGTTCTTTTGCTGTATAATGGGTCAAAAAAGTCAGGCTTTAAAATCTGTGTTTTTAAATCACTATCCCGAAATATTGAGAGAGTAGATAAGTGGAAGGCTCATATTGAATTGGGATCTGAATTAAACATTTTTTGGGTACTTTAAGCCCTAAAAATTACTAGACATTTAATTACAATATTTTAATAACATTGTTAAGATAGTTGTATGTAGTTAATCACTGTCCATATTGGGTATAATAGGAAGTTCCTTTTAAGATAAGGAAGGGGAAAACTAGTGAAATGAATACTGACTTAGACACAGAAAGTGGGTTTGAGTGTATTAATTGGTCTCATAAATAAAGTGACATGCTTAATAATAGTTGTATTCAGTGGGAAGTGAGGAAAAGGATACATTGCTCAAAAGCTGGAAGTTCGTGTTCATAGCAGGCCACTAGTTCCTATTTTGAACTTTAAGCCACACTGAGATAAATAAAGCCATAATTTCTGTGTTTTCCGATATGCCTCTCATAGCAACACATTTATCTTCCACAGATTGTCACAAATGTAAAGAATACATTACATGGCTTCAAAAAAATGCATGGAAGAGCATTTGATGATCCCTACATACAAGGTGAAAGAGTCAAACTTCCCTATGAACTTCAAAAGATGCCAAATGGGAGTGTAGGTCTGAAGGTGAGTTTTGCAGTTTCCACGCATACCTACTGCTGTCATAATCTGCGTCATTATTTTGACAAGCAAATAGAGATTCTGCTTGGCTGTAATTTACTTCTCAAATGAAATTGCTTCCCTGAGCTTTCTATTTTAATTTTATTAAATTCTATAAAGGCTCTGGATATATTCATATCCATCCAACCTGGGGGAGGGAAGGAAAGGAAAGGAAGAGTTTTTCTTCGAGTGCTTGTTCATGTCAATTCCAATTAGGTGTGTGTGCGCACATTTGCACGGCAGCTGTAAAATTTTTCCCCTAGCAGCATCCCCGTCAGGTTGGCCTGGGCACCCCCTGGAGTTGTGCATTCATGTTGCTCAAGATAGAACCCTGCTGTCCCGCTACCCCCTCTTTTTACCACCTGTGACGGTTAGCTGGAACGTCGCATAGCTCTTGCCTTGGCAAGTGCCGTTAGCAGTGTCCGTTGTACAAAATTGTTTACTACTTAGTATAGTTAGTGTTCAGGTTTCTTCTTTGGGCTCTCCCCGCCCTCCCCACCCCCCATTGGTTCCCCAGTGCCGTGGCATGCCACGGTCTCCTGGGTTTAAAACTTGCGAGGCCTGCGGTAAACGCATGCCCAGAAGTGACCCACACACTTTGTGCTGGTGGTGTCTAGGAGAGAGTCACCAGAAAGACCAGTGCAGGATCTGTTGCGGGTTTCACCCTAGAACTTTGAAAGACAGAGACCAGCGTCTCAAAGTTCTGCTGATGGAGGCCGCACTCCGGCCCCAGTCAAACCCTGGATCGGGCATCCCGCGCCTAGCAGCTCCTCCTTGGTGCAGAGTGCCCTGGCACCATCGTCCCGGGATCTGGTGCCAAGGAAGGACTCCTCACGAGACTCTCGGCACCATCACGGCTTCTACTGCATGCAGCCAGCGGATAGGCACCAGTCGCAATCACCGGTGCCTCAGAAGAAAAAGAAGCTGGAGAGGGGCCTTATGTAGTTGGCATTCTTGCTGCATTACGCAGATGAATACCAAATTATACTCAACATATTTGTAGTGTTAAACAATGTTGTTAAAGGCTTTGGTTGCTTTTCCTCATCCTTATTGGGGTAGTACTCAAGTTCTGGTCTATTCAGCTTTCAGTTTAACATAAGAGAGATTAAGGTCTGCTTCTTAACATGATCAGGGACTCCATGACTTGGTGTAAGGCGAGCTGGCATATGCAGTGCCATGGATTAATTGATGTCATGCTGTCCTTGCTTCGATACCAAAATACACTTCTATCCAAGCATCATAGCTACAGGACTAAGATAGGTTTTCTGGCAGGGGAGCTCTTCTGGTAATGAATTGGCATCTTTTTCCTGGAGTGCTTACTGTGCAGGGATACAAGCCATTTTGGATGAGAGTATACAAGTGTAACTTGTCCACATCAGTGTGCTTTCTGTGAAAGTTCTTTGGTGAGTTGTACCTGTAGTGTATGGCCTAGGGATGTAAATATCGTTAAAAAAGTTAACTGTTTAAATTAAAATTACATCTGTTAACCAGTTAACTGACTAAAGGGAGAGGGGCTGGGGTCACTCCGGCCGGCGTGGCCGGGGGCTAACAGTTCAGATCGGTTAATCGATAAGCATTAGGCTTACTGTTAACATTTTACGTCCCTGGTATGGCCACAGTCATGGCACTAGCCCTGAACTGTTGAGGTGGATTCAGGTGCTCCATGGATCTCTGGAAATTCAGCTCTTCCCTCTAGGCTAGAGGTGGGGAACCTACGGCCCATGGGCCGAATTCAGGCCACTGCTTAATTTCATCTGGTCCGCAGCAAGTCTCCACGCTGCGGGCCGGAAGCTGGAGCTGTGAGCACCGGCTCACACTACTGTGGGGGGAAGCTAGGGTTGCCAGGCCATTAAAAGTCTGGTCGGCTCCACGCAGCTCCCGGAAGCGGACGGCATATCCCTGCGGCCCCTCAGGGCAGGGGCAATCAGGGAAGCTCTGCGTGATGCCTCTAGCGCCAGCTTCGCAGCTCCCATTGACCAGAAACTGCGGCCAGTGGGAGCTGTGGGTCGGTGCCTGCAGGCACCTTGCAGAGCCGCCTCTCCGTGCCTCCGCCTAGGGGCTGGACATGTCGGCCACTTCCAGGAGCAGCACAGAGCCAGGGCAGGCAGGGAGCCTGAGTTAACCACCCTGTGTCACCAACCAGGAGCCACCTGAGGTAAGTGCCGCCTGGCCGGAACCTGCACCCCCTGCCCGAGGTTGGAACCCTCTCCTGCACCCCAACTCCCTCCCAGACCCTGCACCCCAACCCCCTTCTCCAGGTCAGAACCCCCTTCTGCACCCTAACTCCTGCCCAGATCCCACACCCCAACTGCCTGCCCCAGCCCTGAGCCCCCTCTCGTACCCTGAATCCCTCATTTCTGGCCCCACCCCGGAGCCTAGGGGAAGCCCCAAGCTTATGTGCCCCCTCGTGGGGGCTGTGTGGCCTGCAACTGATATTTTTTTTTTCCTGTGGGTCAATGGCCCCTGATAGAGAAAAGGTTCCCCACTCCTGCTCTAGGCTGAGATCCACTTCCGGGTGCCTCCCCTTGCTGCAGGATGCTCTGGCGCGGCTGGAGAGGGACAGGACTTGTCCACCCCTGGACAGCTGCTCGGGCGGGGGAGAGATCAGATCCACCTCTGGGAGCCTGCGACCCCTCCACCCCAATCCCCTTTTGGGTCGGGACCCCCACAGTTACAACACCATGAAATTTCAGATTTAAACATCTGAAAATGTGAAATTTACCAATTTTTAAATCCTATGGCTGTGAAATTAACCATAATGGACCATAGATTTGGTGGGGTCTTAACTATGAGGAAAATGAAAAGCATTCTTTCTCCAAAGTAACTTTTCATACACCAGCTCCTCTTCGTGATTCTACCTTGGATGTCATTGGGCTTCATTGAGTTTGTTGATGGCTTTTGCATCTCATGCTCACTATAACACAAATTTAGTTTACTACCTTCAAATACAGTGAAATATAGGGCATGATCTTTAACTTGGCTGCTTTTTTTTAACTCGGATCTACAGAAGTCAAGTTTGAGGAAAACTGGCTTGATAATTTAAACTGTGAATACTTAAGTTCAGCAAGATGAAAGTCTTACTTAGTTTGACTCAAAATTAAGTGCGTGCCGTGTCTGTTAGTGTGTGGCAAGTTGGGGGTTTAAATCTATGGTGCTTTGGCCTGCTGTTTGGCCCTTGCTACCATGCACTAAAAATTCTATAGTGCACTTTGACATACTGCTCCTTCAAAGCATTAACAGACAGTGTAGACAAGCCCTAATGTGATTTAGAATATTGCGTAGTAGCAACACCAGATTAGCTTTCCCTATATCAACGTGTGTGTACCACTCTCATTAAATCTCAGTCCTTTCTCTTTAGCCTGTATGGAACCCAATCCTTTAATATAATCATTTTAGCTACTGTCCTGTATTTATGTATTTAATAGGTTGTGCAATGCTGAGTTGTGCAGAATTACTGATATTTAATTGGTTATCTTTGTGTATGTTGGCTGCTTTTTTAACAGATACTTCAGTGCTTTGAATGTCTCCCAAGTTAATACAGGTCCCTCAAGGATTTCTGCACACAAATGCAGCCGGCCAACTCAAATCCTTTGAGTGAAATAAGTAATGTTTAGCTATAGCATCAGTTGATGTTATTTTGAGTACTGTCTGGGCTCATGGTGTAGTGAAAACTTAGAGAAAGATATGTCACTGCCCAGAAGGGCTTGAAATCTAAACTAGACAAACTCTAAAAGAGAAATCCAAACATGTTACTTTTTATCTCTGGGAGGACTTTGGTTTGTCTTCTGACTTGACATATGATATGTTTGGTTCCATCTTATTTTTAATACTTGTGTTTTTCTGCTCCTATTTGAAATTTTTGAGAAAAGATTTAGAAAACTCTTGTCTAAAATAATTAGATGCTAGCTTGTTAGTGTGACATGACACCTACTGTCCACCTACAAAGTGGTTGCACTTAGGACTTAAAGATCAAAGAAATATTGGTCTGAAACAGCTCATAAAACAAAACATTTATTTGTACTGTGACAATATTCATGTCTGCTTTGCAATTGTTTAATCTTGTGTTTCAGGTGCGATACCTAGATGAAGAGAGACCATTTGCAATTGAACAGGTTACAGGAATGCTTTTGGCCAAGCTTAAAGAGACTTCAGAAAGCGCACTAAAAAAACCAGTGGCAGACTGTGTGATTTCAGTAAGTTGTGATATATTACCCATAAGCAGAACTCTGGTAAATTGTATGTAAACAGTACATTTTAATAGTGTGTGAACTGGAAAAGAGCCAGGTGAGGTGCTGCCAGAAACCACCCAGAACAAAATAAAACTGTAAATATATGCTGAAAAGCACAAAATATATTCTTAATATCTGATACCTATTCACCAAAAAAACAACAGGCAGATCTTGTGTAGAGGTTTTATACTCCATGGGGTTAAAAGCCAAAATTTGCTTGATGACTTTGTGATGTTCCTCAGACAACTTTGGTACAGCAGTAGGCTTCCTAACACATGCTACAGAATTTCTCCTGTCCTATAGCTAGATCTTAGACCTACTGTACAAGAAGTGTAGACCAGATATGCAGAAACTTTGTGATTCTGAGGGCCCCCCCCACCGGCAGTTTTCCTGAAATGTGAGAGCTATACCTAACTTGTGTTTTTCTACACAATCTCTCAGTTCTTTTTGCTTGTGGAACCACAATGTAAAAAAATAGTTTTCATAGCACATTTGGATGCCAATGTAATATGTACCATACAAATAAGACCGACTCTGCTGCAAAGAGCTTCTAATTTAAAAAAATAAAACAACTTTGGTTGTGCCTGTGTGTGTGTGTGATATTTTTATCTTCGCTTCATTCTTTCTGCCTCCCTTCTGTTCTTCATTCTGATACGCTCTTCAACCCCTCCGGAGTTAAGATTGAGCTGTAGCTTCCTGTAATAAGGAACCTCAGTCTTTGGAATTATTTTATATTTTTGTTTTAGTTTAGATAGCTTATGCTTTTGGGGTCAGACATGTCTTGGATTTGTTTAGAAAGTGAGCCAAAATTTTACTGTGCTATATAATGTTTAAATATTTTCTCTGTTAACAAAAAGTTAGTTTAACTATTTACTAAGATCTAAACCTTGTTTCTTGAAATCTTATGCTATCTGGGATTTTGTTAGTGTTAAATATATTAAATGTAGTTTGTGTTTAGAAACACTTGTGCATCTTGCATCCGGACTTTCACTGATTTTGTAAATCTTGACAATGCAGGATATGTATTTGTCTTAATACCAGTTTGGATAATTGGAACTTCTTTTTAAAAGATCTAGCAATTTTAATCAGTCTGTATTAACTAAATATGATTGGCATCTTAAATTTCCACGGTAGTCAAATTTGTGGAATTGTTTTGTTTTATGGCTATGTTAACTTTTAAAGTGAGCATAGGATTTTGTGTGTCATGAGATTTGTATAATGGAGTACAATCTTTGTTTGAAAACAGGTCCCTAGTTTCTTCACTGATGCTGAGAGAAGGTCTGTAATAGCAGCTGCGCAGGTTGCAGGTTTAAACTGTCTGAGGCTGATGAATGAAACTACAGCAGGTAAATATGATACTTGCTAGAAGCAGACCAGGAATAAGTTACAGTTTTTAAACAGTCTCTTAAACTTGGAAGATTGGATTCTGACTAATCATTACGTAACCAATTGCATGTTAGAAATCTATAAAGTAACCTCCAAAATATTGATAGTTTAGCTGTTATGCTTTTCTTTTCTGAAAGTCCAGTTAAAATACAACATCTGTTCTCCACTTTAATAATAATAATAAAAAAGTCTTTGGAAGGTGAGGGGTGTGGGTGGGGTGATGATGATGATTATTATTATTATTTAATCATTAAAACCAGGACTGCTACATTCCAAGCACCATGCCACAGAGTGCTTTATGTCTATGGTTTGAGACCAGATAGCTCTTCTTAGTAGTATTTAGTTTCAGGGAGATGGATGTGCTGCAGAAAAGATTTACCACCCCCCCCCCCACCCCCACCCCCACACACACACGTGTCAATCAGATAGTTATTTTGTCACAAGCTAATATTTAAGAAATGGAGGAAAGATTCAAGTCTGGGGGCAAATAGTTCCTACAAATTAAATAAAATACAAGAAAAATACATCTAGAAGCCATAATGTTTATTCAATCCTGTAGGCAGACGCTTAGTTAAATTGGACTCTGGGGGGCCTCAAGTGAGAGCAGATTTTTACTGAGCATACTTAGAAATGACTTGGATTCTATAACTTCCCACAATCCCCAAATCAAGCCAACAGTACTAGTCTGCATGCCAGAGTGTGACTATATCATGTTTCAAACTTCATCTGGTTTTGGTGAAGTCCTACTAATGTATGGCTTAAATATATATATTACAATAGGGAGTCACATTTTTCATTCATATTTGAAAACAAGAATAATATAAATTGTGTTGAAATGTTGACTACAGTAGTCATGACTGCCCATGCCTTTATTAATAGACCATTAATTCTAAAATTTCAACATGAAAGATAAATAAGGAATAGTAATCTGAAAAGAAGTTGTGGAAAATTAATTGTTACCAGTTTAGTCCCTGCAGTGATTTTTGGGAATAAAAGAATATTCAGATCTGTTTCTTCTCTATCAACAATGATGTAATGTCTCCCTCTACACTCCAGATTTGTTAGTGTACTTTTGAATTCCTTGGCTCCCCTGGCAACTGGATCCATTATCCTTAATTAACAGGTGCAATAACATGTGCATCTCTTGGTTATGATATGGACATTTTGTCAGTCTGACATCTGACAAAATGCTTAACTCATAGTCATTATGAAGTCTCCATCCAAATCAGATTTTTTTCTCTCTCTCTCAAATTTAGGTACATATCTTTCTCCGCTTCTTATCTAGCCTGTCTCAGCCTAGAGTCCAATTACAGCATTGGCACAAACACCATTTGTATGAGTGAGTAATTTGCTCATTCCAGTTGTCCATTGCTGTATTACGAATTCTTCAACCAATCTGAGAGCCGTGATTGATTACAGCAGAAGGTGGATCAAATTCTCATTTGCCAAAAGAAGGGTGGCTGTGATGAAATGCTTCTATTGTAGGAGAGTCAAAGTAGAGTACATTGTGTGGGACCCAGGTCGAGCAATTTAAATCACAGTGACTTTTCTAGAGTGAGGAGCTCGTGGCAGGGAGCTTGGCTGGAGCAGAGCTGGAGCACTCCTTCCCCACCCTCTCGTGGGGATGGCCCATGCCTCGCCACGTCCTCCTGGACGTTCTTCCACACCCTGCTGGGGGGCGTGCCCCGCAGTTTGGGGACCACTGTCCATGGCATGTCTTTTTTCGAGTGATGTTTCGGTGGGTGCTCCATTTCAGGTGTCAGTGCATGCCTGAGACAGAGAATTTTAGCAGCAGTGCCTGTCTGGGTTGCACATGCGTAATCCTGTTCTACGGTGCTGTTGGCGCCATATCCAGCGCAAATGACCTGACCCCCTCAGTTCCTTCTCAGAATGGATCTCCTGGTGCATTCACCTCTGCTACCAACAAAACAATTTACAACTTCCACCGGGGATCAGAACTCATTCAGCCAGATCTATAGCAATCTCAGTAGCCTTTCTAAACAGTGTACCACTCATAGACATATACAGAGTAGCTACCTGGACCTCTGAACATATATTCATAAAGCATTACGCAATTTACCGGACCTTAGGCTCTGATACACTCCTAGGCCTAAGAGCACTATCTTCAATCACTCAGAAAACTCCGAAGCCCCTTCTGTCCACAGAGGGGGCACTGCTCTACAGTCAAGTGGAGCACTCACAGGGACATCACTTGAAGAAGAAAAGGTTATTACCTGATACAGTAACTGAGGTTCTTCAAGATGTGTCCCCCCAGGGGTGCTTCACTACCCAGCCTCCTCCCCTCTACTTTGGAATTCACACTATGTACTCTACAGTAAAGAAGGAACTGACGGGGTAAGGTCACATGTGCCAGATGAGTTGCCAACGGCGCTCTGAGGCGGAGATGGCGCATGTGTGACCCAGATGGGCACTGCTGCTGAAATTCTCTGATCAGCGGCACAGAGATGCACAAACACTTGAAATAGAGCACCCACAGGGGGACACATCTCGAAGAATCTCAGTTACTGCACCAGGTGAGTAACCTTCTCTTATCTTTGTCACTTTAGAACAAAATCATTCGATGTTAACAAAGTGAAAATTTGTGTAGACTTTCAATATATATTATCGCAAGTGAATTTTTGTACAGTTCTAATTTTTTTTAAAGGAACCTTAAGTAGGCTTTTAAAAAAAAAAAAAAAAAAAAAAAAAAAAAAAAAACTTAAATTATTGAAAATTGCTTGAGACGTGGTTTTTTTTTTTTATACAGTTGCCACTAGCTTATGGAATTTATAAGCAAGATCTACCAGCCTTGGAGGAGAAACCAAGAAATATAGTCTTTGTAGATATGGGCCATTCTGCATACCAAGTTTCAGTTTGTGCTTTTAACAAAGGAAAACTGAAGGTAAGTTTATTTTTACTACATTGTTGCACCAGAGGCAATGCTCTTAATTGGGACAATGCTCAGGAAACCAGTGGAGTGCATTTCGGAATGGTTAAATGTCGTGCCTGGTGTGGGCAAACCTGTTTGTAGTAAATACCATATATCTATATATCTATATATATACTCGTTCATAAGCCGAATTTTTTTTAGTAAAAAAGGGAAGCACCAGAGACGGGTCGGCTTATGAACGGGTTTAGAGAGGGAGAGGTGGGACACAGACCCTCCCCCCAACAGAGGGAGCAAGGAGAGGCAGCACAGCCAGCAGAACCAGAAGGGAAGAGGTGGGGCCAGAGTCTCTCCACTTCTGGCCACGCTGCTCTCCCCCCAGCCTCTGAAGCAGCTGCAGCCCCAGGGCTGGCAGGCTGCAGCCGCTTGGCCCTGCCCCCCAGAGCAGGCTGTGGCCGAGCTGCCCGGGCACCAGCCAGGCCAGAGCCTCCTCTGGCCCTCCCCATCGGCCCGCCAGCGACTTATCCTGATGGCCCGGGAGCCGAAGTTTGCTGACCCCTGAATTATAGAGTCAGCTTATGAATGGGTCATAAAAATTTTCCATTTTTACTTATCGATCTTGGTGGTGGGGGGGTCGGCTTATAAACGAACGAGCTTATGATCGAGTATATACGGTATGTATGAAACAGTAGTAACTAATAAAAACTTTCCTGCATTCTAGTTGTTAAATGACTATCCTTCATGGCATTTCTTCAGCAGCTCACTGTAGAAGGAGAATGCTTAGCCACACACCCAAGGAATCTCTTTGAGTAGAAGTTAGAATTGGAAAGTGTGTGCATGCTTTAAAGTCCCATCTTTTATAGACCAAGAGTACAATTATCTCATCTCTAACTGGAGAAGTCACAGAACCAACTTCTCTACTTGCTCTCCAGTGTAAATGAAGCTTCGCTGAACTTGCTTGAGAAATTAAGTGGTCTATAGCTGAATTGCACTTTTCCCAGCCATGCTGGGAAAGGGAGTGGGGGAGGAGAGTTGACTCTTTGCACTCTAACTTAGGGTATGTCTACACTACGGGATTAATCCGAATTTAGATCATTCGGATTTGAGAAACAGGTTGTATAAAGTCGAAATGAGTGCGGCCACACTAGCACAGTAATTCGGTGGTGTGCGTCCAAGTACCGGGGCTAGCGTCGATTTCTGCACTGTGGGTAGCAATTCCATAGCTATCCCATAGTTCCCGCAGTCTCCCGCGCCCATTGGGATTGTGGGTTAAGATCCCAGTGCCTGATGGGACAAAAAACATCG